ACACACACACACACACACACACACACACACACACACACACACACACACACACACACAGTAATCGAACGAAAGTTACCACAGGATTAAAAATAAATTTCTGATCTCTATATTTCAGGTTTTACTTAAAAAACACACTTCAACATGAAATCAAATGTTCTAAAAAAGAAATTTGAAAAATGGTTGTCTAGAACCCAAAACAGTTTCCAACTAGGAAAGTTACAAAAGGATATGAACACCAGGAGAAAGTGAGACAGGAAAAGCAGGAGACACATGTACTGATGGCCCCAAAAGCAAACAAAGCTTCTCAGGCAGGGTTGGAGGGCAGAAGTCATGTTTTATTCACCTTTGTATCCTCAGTAACTAGCAAAATATTGGTATCTCTTAAACATCCCAATGCCGTTGCCTAACAACTAATAAAGTAATGAGGAAAAAACTGAGTTCATTATCAATAGGTGGCACTGTCAACACAGAGCAGTTGAGTGCCAGAAGTAAAAAGGACCCAGAAGTTCATGTGCACAGATGCAAGCCATAGACATAAAAATGAATTCACCCAAACAACCAGTTGCTTCTGTTATTGTGAGTGCACATACACACCATATTCTGCTAACAAGAGGGCAGTTTCTTTGTAGAATCAATAGTGCTTTAGATTTTCAATATTTTCTCTTAACTCTTTAATGTCACTTTGTGATTATAAGAACAGTAATTTAGCTGAATGTGGTGACATATATCTATAATCCCAGCGCTCATGTGGTTGAGGCAGGAAGCTCTCAAATTCCAGGCCAAAATAGTGTCTCCAATCCGAAGCTTTACACTACTCTTTTCGACTCCAAAGTGATATCGATGATATGTAGTAGCAAAGTATAGCTGGACCCTCTTCATCCCACCCCACCAATTCTACTGGGAAAAAAAAAAAAAAAAACAGTTGTGGATGGAGGGAATGGAAAGAAAGGAAGAACACTTGATTCACTTTTTTTTTTTTAAAGTATCTCCTTCCTCTACCTCTGGCATGAAAGGGTCAGAACCTGAAAAGATAAGTCTCTGACATGGGAGAAAGCAGAAATAGCAAGTCCATTTTCCTGCTGGAGTCACTTATGTTTTTCGCGTACAATTATGAGACACCAGTGTAAACAAGAATGAAAGATCTGTAACACAACAACCAAGTCTATCTTTAGTGATGATTATGAAAAACTAGGCTTCTCATAAGCAGAAGGCTTAAGATTCTGCAAACAACTAGAGTTAATGTACTTTGTATCACATAGGAAGAAGATATTGTTTTCTTCTTTGTTACATGTTTACTGTTTTCTGAATGAATTAATATGATGTACTCTGTCCTTTTCTTCATATAAAGTCCCAATTATACTAAATAGTATTCAAGTTGTTAGAAATGGGACAGTAATTCCAGGAACTTGAGAATCAATAACTACTTAAACCAGTGGTAATCCTGTGGAAGAGCTAAAATCAGCTCCAGGTTCCTGGGTCTCTTGCACAGAGAGAAAAGACTTAGACTGCATCACCAAACTTCAAAAATGTAAACTTGTGCAATTAAGCTTGAAATGCAGGCCAAAATTTCTCCTTTTCTTCCCCAATATTAGGCTGGTGTCAAAATCAATTAACTTCCCTCACAAGCACATTCTTTCAAAATTCCTCAGTGAAGTAGGTCTGTGTTTAATAATTTGGAAAAAAGAGAATTATGTAACACATATAGAATGATGTTGGTAACTATATGTTATTCTAGACTCTTGCTGGGAGCTGCAGTTCAAAGGGAGTTTGTGAAAATGAAAGGCTGCTTCAAATGTCTCCCCCAAACAAAACTAAGTTCCCATAAAAGAAACCAAATACAATCTTATTTTAGGTTCAATTAGGGTTCAAATAGATCAGAAATTCTATTCACTTTTTTCAGAAGCTGTATCCCAGAACTACTATAAATAGAAACTGAACAGCTTGTCCAAGAATCCTTACTTATTAACCAATCTTGGGTCCCCAAGAGACTCCTTTTTATAATAATCTCAAATGCACTACAATAGCTTTGTGTAACCTGGGCTACGATGTTTACAGGTGTCTCCACCTCCTTCCCCCAAGGAAAGAGGAGGTAGAATGGACTAGGCAGAAAACAGAATGAGGCTGTGTATATACACTAAACAAAAGCTTGTGATCATGTAATACTGTTTCTTTTACGCCTGGGTTATCCTTTTCATTCATGTCTAATACATTTAAAAGAATAATAGATTCACAGAGTGACACAATTTCTGCCCTCCCGTGTCTCTGGCTGGCTGACACTCGCTTTCCCCTCAAATAAATACAAGCCTGTTGATGGATGCCTGTCCCGCTTTGCAAACAAGAAATAACTGTCCTGTAAGACAAATAAAAACCCTCTCTATGGCTCCGAAGCCAGCCATACGTCCGAATGAAAAGCACACTGGAGCGACAACAGCCAAATTTCCCAGTAAGTCCTGTCATTTAAACGCACCATAATATGAAGAGATATCGCTGCGACCCAATTTTAGATCACAAGCGGTTTTTGCCCCTTCTCTTCCCCCCCCCCTTTTCCCCTCCCTAGAAAGAGATAAACTTCAAAAGGAGTATTGATGACCAAGAATTGCGCGCACACACACACACAGAGTAAAGGAAAAAAAAAAAAAAACTGTCCAACTTGGACGCTGGCCGGGCTCACGTGGAACCTGAGCCCCGGCTGGGCCCCGGCATCAGGGCTGAGCAGCTGAGCAGCCGCGGGAAAGCAGCCCCCGCCGCGGGTTTGAAACCTGGAGCAGGTGGGATTCCGGGAAGCCACCTTACGTAACCGGCTTGTCAAAAATCCCAGCTTCAGGACCTCCCCCCCCCCCGGTCCGCCCCCGCCCCATCACCCCAACAACAGCCCCAGGCCAGCACCGGAGGGCCAGTCTGGAAGGAGCCCCCCGGAGCCCCGCGCGCGTTCCCACTCGGAGGCGCGCGAACGCTCTCGGCAGCGTCTCGCCATCCTCCCGGACGGTCCGAGCCCCTGCAAGCAGCTGCCCGCGCCTAGCGGCCCTCCGAGTCCCATCGCCCTGCTCGGCGTCCCCCCTTGCCAGTCACCTCCTCAGGGCCGTGACAGCTCCCCACGCCACCGATGCCCACGCCGCCGCCCCCGCCACTCACCTCCCCGCCGGCCCCCCGCGCCAGCGCCGGGAAGAGCCCGAAGCGCGGGGTCCGATCCTTTCACGCGCGGCGGGCGGGACACGAGGGGGCTGAATGCCGCGACGCTTGCAGCCCGCTTAGCTCATCCCCCGGCCCGGCGCTCCGCCCTGCCGTCTCAGTCAGACGGGACTCCCCCTCCCAGCGCGGTCGCCACTGCCTCCGCCTCCTTCCTCAGCGCCAGCCGCCAAACCCACCGAGGCCGGCGCCATCTTGGGAGTGACGGAAAAGGCAAGGAGGCGGGGGCTGTGGCCTCGAAGACCAATCACAGGCCGAGTCTGACCCGAGGGGCAGGAGAAGGCCGGCTAAAGGGGTGGGTCGTGGGGGAGGGGGCTGAAGAGGACCCCCCCTGCAAGTGGGCGGGGCCGTGGCCGGGGCGGGGCCGGGGGCGGGGCGAGCCCGGGCTAGCTCGTGACGCGGGTGTAGTTGGGGAAACGCGCCGTGGTTCCCCTTCTGCTGGGGAGATCCCGAGCCCCTGGCGAGTGTGAACAAGGCGTACTGTACCTTCTTCCTCTTTCACCATCTCAAGGCGCAAGGATTCAGCTCTGGCTAACGACCTGTTTTCTCCTTCCTCCCCTGCAGTCCCAGCCTGCTAGAGAGAGCTTGGTGCTGCAGTCTGAGCTGAGAACCACCCACCAAAGCCACTCGCGTTCTGCAGGAAACCCCCTGAGCGGTTAGCAACCACCAGTAGCTTTCAGTCCCAAGACAGAAGGTCAGGGAAAAGGGGAAATTCAGAGGGGTTCTCTAAAAAGCGCCTTGATAAAACACCTATTGTTGACCGAAGGGGTGTCCATTACATTGATTAATTGGATATGGCCTACTTAAACCAGACTACGGCTCCACCGTTAATGGCTATTGGCAGGTTGCCTTTGAAAAATGAGGATAATAAAGGTTGATTACCTCTACAGGGTTACTCAGAAATGATATAGTGTATGCCTAAAAGTACTGAATAATGTTAGCTGTTATTCCAAGGACGAGTGAAGGAAGAAATAAGACCTTAAAAAAAAAAATCCCTCTAGGTTCAAGTTCATCTGTGCAAAACAGGCTTCACCTTTTTACTCCCTGAGATTATGGTTTTATTTTATACCTCCACTTCTTCTCATGTACTCATTCGTTAGGACAACATTGTTGGGAACCCCAGCAGAGGGGACACCATGATCAGGGACCACAAAAGGTCGGCTTTCAGGGACTTGCAGTCTAGTGGGGGAAGGGCAACCAAAAAACAAATTTTCTTCGCACTTTGAGAAGAAACAAGAAAATTACAGGAAGAATTCTGGGTAGAAAAATCGTAGGATGGTTTTTGAAACCGGAGTGGGCAAGGGTATGCCCATCTGAAGCTCAGGAGGAAGCCAGTAAAGGGAGAAAGGCCCTGGAGAATGGAGCAAAGCCAGATTGTGCAGAGACCCTGCAATAGGGAGGAGCTTGGCTTTGAGAACGGAGTGGAATCCGTGTTGCTGGGAAATGGGTTTTGCCTGGAGAAGCCTTACATTAGATTGGAGAGGGAGTTGAGGGCTCAGTTGTACAAAGCCTAGAAAGACACGGAAACAAGACTGGCTTTGATTCTAACTGCAGGCTGAAGCCACTGAATGAATGGTAAGGAGTGAGCAAAGGAGTTAGGAGCAGTGAGTGGCGTTTGAAGTGTGACGTCTATATTTATATTCCAGGCAACACAGACCAGGGAACCTGACTGAAAGTTTTTTAAAATCTAAGTTTGAGACTCTTCAACACTGAGTTGACTATAAATATAGTTTAGATTGTTTAAAGATGTGTAGGCATTACATAATATTGTGGAGAGAAAAACGCTAATTTCATTGAAAATTATTAAGTGATATCTATCACCCTTCCTTCATTTCTTTCCTTCTTTCCTTCCTTCCTTCCTTCCTTCCTTCCTTTCTTTTTTTCCTGAGACAGGGTTTCTGTGTGTAGCCCTGGCTGTTCTGGAACTCACTCAATATAGACCAGGTTGGCCTTGAACTCAGAGATCCAACTGCCTCTGCCTTCTTAGCTCTGGGATTAAATTGTACATCACCATGCCTGACTTGATATCATTTATTTTTAATCATTTTATATATCATTTTGTTATAATGTATAGTTGCCTGTATAGATCAATGTTATTTGATGTGTATTTTATTCTTTTTTCTTTTTTTCTTTTTATAGAATTCAGGTAGTAACCCATGTTAGTCAGTCTTAGTCATTTCTGCTCATGGGTAATGTTAGATGCTATAATTCCAAATGTATTTTTAATAAGCTTTTTTCCTTTATTTTTATTTTAGGTCCACCACATGCATGCAGTGCCTGAGGAAACCAAACAAAGACTGTGATCTTTTAACTTGGTTGGACACTTCCTCCTGGCTGCCAATGTCATCACAGTGTTTTTACCCCCATGTGAGGACATGGCTCTCTGCCAATCGATGCTTCCTAGAGAGTCCGTATCATAAAGGGGTACAAGTAAACTTCGGGGGGAAGATGGAATTGTCACTGTCTTGATTGCATTGATGGTCATAGGTACATACATAGGTCAGAGTTATTAAGTTGCACCTCTAAATATCTGTATCCTTTAGACTTCAATAGCACCACTTAAAAGCTTTTACTTTTTTACATTTTCTTCTAAGACAAGGCCACTATGTAGCCCAAGCTGGTGTCAAACCCACCGCAAGTCTCCTGCCTCCGCCTTCCAAGTGCTGGGATTACATGCTTGTGCTATCACACCCAGTGTGTTGTGATCAACCCCGAGAGTGATGCATGCTAGGCAAGCACTCTAGCAACTGAGCAATATTCCCTGCTTCAACAAACAAAAACAAACTTTCTAAAGGTTCAGCTGGTAACTCCTGTTCTTTTTCCATTGTCCGTAGAGTTAGCCACTAATTGGTTTGATTGTTGTGAAACATACCCAGTCAGTTCCCCTTTAAAGGGTATCTTAGCATATTATATTATCAGCAGTACAAAGCACGTTCAGTTGAGAAATAGATATATTCATCCACATTATAGAGTTCTAGTTAAAATATAAACATATAGTTGCAAGAAGAGCTTGTGGCATGGGACTCTTTAAAAGTTTCAAAAGTTGGGGTAAAGCGAGACTTCAGTCGTTAAAGTGCTTACCGTGAGAGAATGAGACCCGAGTTCAACCCCCAGGACCCACGTTTAAAAATCTGGACATGGTGGCTGTGCTAGTTTTTGCCAACTTGACACGAGCTAGAGTCGTCTGAAAAGAGGGAATCTCAATTGAGAAAATGCCTGAATCAGATTGGCCTGTAGGCAAAAGTGTATGGCACAGTCTTGATTACTGGGCAGATGTTCTTAGGTTTAATAAGAAAGCAGCTGAGTGAACCATGGAAGGGAATCTAATAAGCAGCCTTCCTCCATGGTTCTACTTCAGTTCCTGCCTCCAGGTTCCTTCTTGAGCTCCTGTCCTGACTTTCCTCAGTGATGAACTCTGATGTGGCAGTATAAGATGAAATACTCTCCCCAGGTGGGTTTTGTCTAGTTTTTTGTTTGTTTGTTTTTTGTTTTTGTTGTTGTTTGTTGTTGTTGTTGTTGTTGTTGTTTTAACACAGCAACAGAAAGGAAACTAGAATTTTGGCACAGCCCTTGTAATCTCAGCACTGGGGAGGTGGAGACAGGTTATTTGTATGTGTGTGCAGTTGCATATATGTGGCCAGTATATATGCATATGTGTGTGTGTAGGCCAGAGGTCAACTACAGTGTCATTCCTCAGATTTAGGCCACATTTTTTAAAGTTTATTATAAAA